GGGAGGGAGGGATAGGAAGTTAGTGTGGGGAGAGGAACTGTGGCAGGAAGGCAGCTGCTTGGACTGGGAGTGAAACCTGCCCCATTTCACTCCTGTGCTCTAGGCTCTCTCTGACCCAGCTCCCTTATTAACCATTTATTCACCAGACTCTTGCACAGAGAACTGACAGGGTTTGGCAGAAGGTGGTCAGGAGTGAGCAGGTCCGAATAAGGCTAGATGGCAGTACTGGAGGCCACTGGGGAGGAGTGTTACTTGGGGTTTGTTTGTTTTTTTTGGGGTTTGTTTGTTTTTTTTGAGAGGGCTAATGAAGAGCATGGGGCGCTGTTCTTTTATGGGGAGGAAATTAGGGGCCAATCAGGTTGTTCGATTGCAGGGAAGAAGGGGCCAAGCATTGCAATGAGATCCTTTTGACTGCTGCCATTCTGCTCTCAGATAAGCTGGGGACTTGGGACAGCGGAAGGCCTGGCATTTCACATGCCCTGCAAGACCAAGACACCACCAGGCGACTTAAGGACGTGCAGCTTGAGCTCCTGGGGCTTGTGGCTTTAGCTGTCAGTAAGTTACTGACTCATTTGTTAGAAAAGAATCAGGCTGGGAGGAGGGAAAGGGTGTGAGCGTGTGGGGGGAGGTGTTTTAATAAGCTGAAAGGGCATAAGACATGCTTACAGCAAAACACTCCTGCTGGCTCATGGCTATAGGCAAAATTCCTTCCCACTGGTGAAGTAAGGCCATGCGGCCTGAGCTACTCCTAGCCTCCTGAATCTGCAGGTGATTGCTAGGGAAACCCTATTATGGAAATCTAGGGGACTCAACTTAGTACTCTCAATAGATGAAATCAGCCCTGTGTAGAAGGACAGAACATGACCCATGGGGCTCAACAGGCACGGCAGAGGTGCCAAAACCAGTGAATTTCACCTGGCAGGAATATTCTTGGCACAGCCTCCAGCTAAAAGGTTTGCACTACAAAGTTTGGCCGTGTGCATGACCTTGCTCAAACTGGGGGAGTATTTGCACAGGCCCCAAGGAAGAATGGGTTTGTGCGTAAGGCCCTGGACTGGGCCTCAAGAGAGTTGGCTTCAATTCTCTGCTTTCTCACAGGCAATGTTCCCCTTTAATCGTTTCTATCCATGCATGGAAGAAATTTTGTCATGTGCACCGAGGCATATGTGAATGTGCACCTGGAGAAACACTAACCTCGCTGCTCTGCTAATCAGCTGGGCAGTACTGGGATCTTTCATGAGGGGCCGCATAAGTGCACAGCTTACAGGGAACACCCGTCACAGACTCCCTACGTGACCCAGGCAAGCCACTTCACCTCTCTGTGCCTCAGTTCCCCATCTGTAAAATGGGAGAAAATTCCTCCCTACACCCAAATCCTACAGAGGGGCAGTAGAAGTGCTAGAGGGGCAGAGAATAGCCCTAACGGGGTCAAGAGGTGTACAGACTGAAGAAGGATGGCACTGACTAGCCCTAGAATGTGGAGAGCAGTCGCTCGCGTGCCCATCAGCTCTCAAAGGCCTGGCCTTACCTGGGCAGAGTACTTGGCCCGCAGCCTGCCTGCTTCACATCCTTTGTCGCACACCCGGATCTGCCTGGCTTGCTCCAGTTCCCGCTTTAGTCGTATCCGTGACTCATTGGCTTCTTTCATTTTCTTCTCGTTCTCAGCTCTAAGACGTTCGATCTCTTTCCTCAAGTTGCGCTTTGCCTCGGTGGCCTCTCTCAGCTTCTCCTTCTTTGCCACGCGCAGGAACTCTAGTTCCTGGAAAGCACAAAAAGTGACAGGGTTCCTCAGGGACTGGGGCAGCTCAGACAAGATTACAGCAAGGCAGTGGGTTCAATAAAAGGAAGAGAAGTTCCTGGAAGTTAGGTACGTCAATTGCTACTAGCCACTCTGGTCAGGGATGCAATCCCTGTGCTCTGGATTTCCCTAAACCTTTGACTGCCAGCAGCTGGGACCAGATGACAAGGAGTTGCTGTTTGCCCATGTCTGTTCATTCCCTCTGAAGCATTTGGCACTGGCCACTGTCACAAGACAGGATACTGGGTTAGATGGACACGGGTCTGCTCTTATGTTATAAGGGACGCTGGAAAGGAGAGATGGACCTAAACCAAATCCTAAGATCCAAACACCACTGCATTGTGGGGCCAGAGCCGGGGTGGGAAGGAGAGAAAGAAGCTGCAATCTGAACCTGGCTCCCAATTTTGCAAATGACCAAATTCTTCTATTGGACCAAACCAAAAGCCTTGGCCAAATTTACCCTGAACTCTGGGGCTTTCAAAAAGCCAAACCTGATTCAAATTTTGCATCTTGACTGCCAAGCAAAATGGCCGCCACCGTTAAAGGCTGCATGATGAATTAGTTAACTCTTTTGGAGCATCCGCTGCTTGTGCTGAATGCGGCACTGCCTAAAAGCAACTATCATATCATGAAGGGGCGAATGGGTTAACCCTACTGGCTGCCCTTGATCTGGAAACAGGAAGCAGAGGGTGCACAATGCTAGGACAATGAAGGGCAAAACTGGCCAAGAAAGGCTTTCAACAGCTGCTCCATCGCAGCCAGCCAGGAAGATACTTGTGACGAACCTAAAATTAATTTAATTTCTAACATTAAGAAATTCGGAAGCACCCGAAGACTTGATTGCTAATATCCAAACAGTTTGGTTAAACTTGCACCCCTAAGCCTATTATATACTATATGTATTGCATGACTCTGAAGCAAAAACTGACTCTGATCTGGCTTTTTAAAGGGTTAAATTAAATGAACACCACTTTTCTCTCTCTCCAGAAACTGGACTTCCTCTCTGTCAGAGGCAAACCCTCCCAGAAACGTGTCTCTGTTAAGTAACACGCTGCAGTCGGGTCATGGGAAATTCACTCCTTTGACAATCTCACTTCCCAGCCAGGCCATTGTTAGCTCAACCCCGACATGGGGGGCGCGCATGCATGTCCGCCCTGGCTCTGTGGAATCGGAAACCGAGCGCTGCCAAAATGGAAACTCATGGCCAGACACCCTCCCCATTCCTAGTCTGACACACTCCTTTGCTTGATTATTCCTGCACAGCTCAAGGTGGGTTCAGCACCTGTTTTACGTAAATGGGGTTTGTTTTGTTTTGATCTAAATCTTCTCTGAAACACAAGGAAATCAAGTGGCTTGCCCCCAGGGCACATGGAGTGAGTGAGCAGCTCTGGCTGCCTGGCTCCTGCCTCTGGAGAGCTGGCCCTGCAACCCGTGATACAGAAAACTTCCTTCTAGGAGCAGCAGAATGATGTGAGAGCATGGGCCACAAAACTGGTCCTAATGCAGGACCAATAGGTTGGGCAGACTCGGGTTCAAATATGAATCAGGTTCATCCAGGACCTTTCTCCTGCGACGGAGCCTGTGATAAAACGCCTAGATTCTCATGTTGCTTTTTCTTGGTGCAAAGCCTTTCTGCAAGCAAATTATGCCTGTATCTGAGCCACCGGTCCCCTAAACCTGGCATTTGTTGGCTGACAAACACATGTGCCTGCTTTCAGCAAACAGCAAAAGGCTCTCTGCTGCCTCTGCTCCTACTTCTTTATGCTAAAAATAGCAGGTCACTCCTGGTTAGAGAAAATATCCTGCTCCACTGAACTAGATGTACACTATCACCTAGTTATGCTCCGACTAGTTACCAGGTAGCTCTGCTTCAAATGGAGCATCCCATGAGGGAGACTGGTCCCTGGTTACTAGCACACAGATGTAGACAACTGACTCTAGATTGACAATCCCAACTCCCTCTCTCCCTGAGCGTGTCAATGCTATGCCCTGCCAAAGTACGCATGGGTTGGAGAATGGGGAACATGACAGACTCCCCATCAGACAGAAGCTCTCAAGGGGCCCCTCCTGGGAGAGAGAAACATGCACAGTGAAAACAATTTTAACTCGGCGGGACCCGGCCAGCTTTTCAAAGGGAAATGGGAGAAATGATTTGGTTTTGATTAGAAAGTTGTGACTCTCTTTTAAACAGGGACAGGTAGCATGTGTGAAACTAGGCAAAGCTCCCATATTCCAGGCATTGCCCTTTTCTGTTTAGAACCAGAACCCCAGAGACTGCCGCTGACATTGTGGGAAGGCAGATTAATTATTTTCAACGTCAGACTAGCCAACGGGTTCCCCTGGTGGAGGACATGCACACAGTGACCACAGGAAACTCTTGCCCATTAGTACCTGGTGCAAGCTGCGTTTAGCCTGCAAGGCAGCGTTTAGCTTCTCTTCCTGCTTCACCCTCATCTTAACCACTTCATGGAGGAATTTCTCTTTGGCTTCTTTAGTATCCAGGCCACTGTCCAGGGCCTGCCTTAGATGCTCCAGTTCAGCTTCCAAGCCGCTGTTGTGAGACTCAGCATGGGCGGCAACCTCAAAAGAGTTGCTGATGATGGCCGTGGTTTGCATTCCAGGGGAGCTCATGTCCTTCGCAGAGCTGGACGAAGTAAAGGATGGGGAAGAGAGCGAGGACAGGGACGAGGTGACTGCAAACAAAACACACATACCCTGAAAGTTAGCAAAGGTGCATTTTACATTCAACGCCGCATCAGTTGGCAGGGGCTGAGACCCTCTGAAAAGGAGGAACCACGCTCAAGGAATGTTTTATGCCTGATACCGGACGGATGATGGAAATGCAAATCTAAGCAACGCTCAGGGCTGCAGGGCTCCCACCAAATTCTCCGTGGAAGTTCTGTTTTAAGCACAGACTTCGGGGTTTAGCTGCATGCAATTCTCTGCACTCTCCCTCTGGAGAACACTTCCACTGCTTTGGGGAAGAACTGGACAGGGATATCCTGCTAGTCTTGGTGCAATTTCACCCAGTGCAGAGCCGCCTCACCACCTAAGGTGTGCTGCTTAAGGGCTGATCCTAGCCTGGCTGAAGTTAAGCCATCCCCAGAGGGCTAAAGTGGGCCTGTCACCCATTGTAATGCAAGTGTGAGGAGTTGTGGCTTGTGCTTTTCTAGGGGAGTCCACCTGGGGTGCCTTCCATTTCTCTGTGTCTCACTATTTACGGCTGGGATTTTCAGAGGGGCCTCAGAGAGCTGCGTGCAAGGGGGCTGGGACAATTTCTGCAGTGGGGGGACTGAGAGCCACTGAACTGAACTGTAAATCCTGCATATAATGGAAACCACTTCAAGCCAGGGGCTGCTGCAGCACCCCCCGCACTCCTAGTTTCAGCACTCCTAGTTTCAGCACCTATGGCTGGGTTTGAAGACCACATTAAGGACTCATCTCCCACAGGAGTTTAACTTCCTTGGACTCTTCTGGGAACCCAAAGTCCAAAATTATTCCATGGGGAAAAAGTAAAGGCAGGTAACTCACACTTACATTCCTCCCGGGTTTCTACTTCAATCTCTGCTTCTGATTCTTTGTCCTCTTCGGTAGCAGTGACAGTGGCTGCGGCTTCCAGGACGGCTGGGTTGTCTGCAGTCAGCTTCCTTTTCCGGGGCTGGACCGGGCTGCTCAGTGGTTCACTGTTCCGTGACACCACCGTGGCACATGGGGAATTGCTTACAATCTTCTGCTGAGCAGGAGGAGCGAGAGCCACGTTGGGGGCCACAGAAGTCTCGAAACTTTTGTAGGAGTAAAAACTGTGCAGAAAGGAGGAAGTAAAAGAAAAAAAGGCAAAATGTTCAGTCCCATTTGTGCCTTCAAAGTGCCTCTGAACCAGCATCTTAGACTGAGGCTATGGCTACACTGCTGCTTTTTCTGGAAGAAGATACGCAAATCATGCTATCATTTGCATATCTTCTTCCGATTCTTTTTGTGGAAGAGGTTTTGCCGCTATTTGGCCCCTTCTAGAAAAAACCCATCTTTCGCAAGACCCCTTATTCCTCGTAAATCGAGGTTTACAGAGCCTTGCGAAACAGGGTTTTTTTTCTGACATTTGGACCCATCTATACAGGGCCAAATAGCGGCAAAAGCTCTTCCGCAAAAAGAATCAGAAGAAGATATGCAAATGTGAGCACTATTTGCATATCTTCTTCTGGAAAAAAACGGGCAGTGTAGCCATAGCCTGAAAAAGGCCAGATTCTTCACTGGTGTAGCTCCATGGGACTGCATTGATTTCAATCCCGATTTACACTAGTTGAGGATTTAGCCCTATGATGTCCACCCATTAAGTGCTCCATGGTCTTCTAAGTGCACATAAGCTGCCCTCAGTGCATAGGGTTAAATATTGTGAACGCAGAAGAGACCAGACCCTCACGTCTCCCACATGCTAAATGCGGTTTCTATATTTTGGTCTCTGGTGCGTTAGGGATTCTTCCAAGAGATGATGCTTTTACATCTAACTACCCACAATTGCCTTCCAATTTTTGAGATTGCTGGAGAAAAGCCTTTAGAGTGCCAACAACATTTTGTAGTGTATAATTAATTTCTCCACATCACATGTACGTGAGTGTGTGTATATATATATATTATATTCAATGAACTCTGTTAAAAAACATTACGATTGCAATGTCAAGCACACAAAAAGTTGAAAGGTCAATGGCTTGGCCTTACAAGCTTGCCCATGTAACCTTAATTCAGTCCCCCTTGTATATATGCAATGTGAGACAATCCTTAATCATATGTTACAGTCTCTACTTTGCATGTGCAAACGAAGATTTTTGAGGCTTACAACTGCCAAATTTGGATGAATTTTCACAAGGACAGCAAGACACATGCTTGAAATCAGGGTGACTCCCCAGCCAAGTTCCGTTGGCTTTTTCAAAGCACTGAGTACAAGAGTGTTATATAGATATATACAAATCTTATAACAATTTGTTAATACGAGCAAAACAATGTATTTTCCCAACCGTTTCAGCTGAAACTTTTCCAAAAAATTCAGTCTGAGGCAGACAACTGGCACAACAGTTTTCAACCTGTGCAGTTAAAATTTGGCAAAGTTATAAACAACTGAAAACAGGGACTTATAATGGAAAGTGTCAGGCAACCTCAAGTATTGGTAGAGCTATCACCACTGCCTAGATAGGGACCAATTCTGATCACTGCTTGTACCAGTGTAAATCAGGAGTAGCTACTGCCCTGTTATAAAACCAATATGAAAGCAGAATCAGGGTCCGTAACAGTAACTTTCCAAGGACAGTTGTCAAATCCTTAGCGGCACCATTTGTACACGCAACAGCAACTGGACATGTAAAAGATGGGTACACATACAAAGAGCGCAGACACTGACATGCACTGAACACAAGCACAGACTGCAGTTCCAACTTCAACTCTCTTTATAAGTCTGGACCTCCGGGTGTCAATGGAGTGTACTATGGGCAGATCCTACTGCAGTTACCGCTAAACCAACACTCCTATGCATGCAGAATCACATGGATCTGAGCATCTTTGTACATGTACAGATCCTTTTACCTTCCACAAAACGACAGAACTGTGCAGGAGGGAGAGGGAAAACCAATTGAAACAAAAATCTAAATGACCAGGTTGGAATGACCACGAAGGCATCAGGTGTGTATGGCAGTAGAGTTGATCTTAGGGGCAGGCAAGCCAGGTGGCTGCCCAGGACTGCCAGAGACATTCAGCAATTAAAAGGGCCGTGACTGCATCCCCCCCCCCCCTTTTTTTTTGCTCAACAAATTTTCACCAATTGATTAGGACAAGCCCTGTGTGGCAGTGCTAGGTAAGGTCATGGAAACCTCTCCAAGAATAACTAGGGATGGGATGGGGGGTCCTTGGAGTCCTAAAGGGTGGGCTGATGCAGGTGGACTGAAGGTTTAAAGTCAGAAGGATGGGACCAATGGATGCTGGGTATCTGGAGTCTATTCCCAGCTCTGCCACTGATGTACCTGATGGAGTTAGCAACTTTGTTTCCCCTTCCAATTGTTTTTCTGAACTGTTTAGATAGTGCGCTCTTAAGGGGCAAGGATTTTTCTCAGTGGATGTTTAGTGCCTAGTATAATGGGGCTCCAATCTCTGGTGTTGCTGTAATAATAATAACACCACCACCTAATAAACAGCAAGAAGAGTGGCTTTAGAAGCTAATTTAGTTCATTCCCATAAGTGGAAGGCCTGTTAAATTCTGAAACACTACAGCTTGAATCTCTCTAGTTCAGCACTCTCTGGTCTGGCAACATCTGTGGTCCGGTATGATTTCAGTTCTCCAGATGTCCACTTATCAGGGCTGTGGCCAAGTTTCCCACAGTCCCATAAAGTTTGTTTACAGCCCCCAGTCCTGGCTCTGTGTTCTGTGCAGTTATTTAGCTCTAATTTATGCCAAATGTCTTCTAAGAGCCCAGCAAACAGTGGCAGTGTTGGTAATGCTACTACGCAATATTGACCTCCCGTAGTCTGGCATTCTCTGGTTTGGCACCAGGGTGCCAGACTAGAGAGGTTCCACTGGCAGTACACTAATAAAACGGGTTTAGGACCTGGTTTGTTAGGAAGTGTGAAATCAAGATGTTTAGAAGGACAAAGCAAACTGATGCCATGAGATTGAGCGTTACAGCAATATCTCAGTATAATTCAGCCCAAGGGACAAGGCTGTAGAGACAGTAAATTTAATAGATGATTACTGAACAAAAAAAGGGTGAATTTAAGGCATGTGAAATGTGCTCTATAGAAGGTGGAACAACACACATAGCAGTAGTGGACGCTTCCATGCATTGCCCTGACCAGGGTGTCTCAAATCAACTCCCATGAAATCCCTTATATGGCCAAGAGATGGTTTGGGCTCCATGGCCCATTCAATCCATGGCATTTCTGCTGACACTGCCAACAAGCGAGCCCATGTGACAGGAGCACCTGTATGCTACTGACCTGGGCGGAGACCACCCGATTTCACAGGGGGCAACTAAGAGCGGCCTGGTGATCACAGCTGGTCCCTACCAGCTTGGAACAGTTGCCAGCCAGGGCCAAGCCATCTTTAAATAGTAGATGGGTAAGACACAAAATGCTTTTGTCTTTGCACCACCAAACTAGCAACACAGATCCTTCATTTTGCAAACTTGTGAGACACGTTTCACTCAAGGTAACTGAATTACTGAATGCATAAATACTGCCACTTTCTTGTTTTCCCTCCCTAGAATCACTGGTGGCCGCAAATGTTTTCACTGCACTACCAGCAGACTACTTGAACCAAACACGGTCACTAATATCAGTGCAAGGGAACATCCACAAAGGAGGTAGCTCTCATAGAACATCGATTTCCCCTCCCACCCCATGGGCCCAAGTCTTCTTACCTGTCTCGGATCAACATGGGAAGATGTGTGGAGAGCTCTTTCTCATTTGCTGAAACCGCGGGGGACCAAGGCCGGAAAGCAGAGAGGCGCTGACGGGGATGGACACAACCAATGCTCTGCAAAGGCGGGAAGGAAAGAAAGGAAGAGAAAAAACAAACAAAAACTGGTCACCACTGAGTACATTGCAAAGGAAAGTTACTGACATGTGCGCGCACTTGGGTTCTGTTACCTCTCACACAATTCCTCAGCAGGGGCAGCTGGCTGGACCTAACTGCTTATCGCTTTTCACCAGAGGAGCAGAATTGGATGAGAATTAAAGTCCCATCCAGTTGTTGCTTGCCAACAAATATGTGGTTTGCAAGAGACTGTCTGGGACTCCAGGGCCTTTCAGGATTCCCATATGGCTGAGGCATCAAGAACCTGCTTATTTCATTCCACAGCCACGCCACTGCTCACTGAGCGGCAGCGGCAGAAGGGGAAGGGCACCGTAACTCACTGTCCCTCGGGGAAAGCAGAGAACATCTTTCATTGAGAAAGCATGGGCCAAAGCCATCTTTGGTGTTGGTCCCACTGGCTTCAAAGGAGGGACCAAGCACAAATTGCTTCCCACCAATCGACTTTAAGCAACAAGGCAAGTGTATTACTTGAGAGTCACCTTATTGGATGAACCAGACAAGGACCGCAACCAACTGGATTGCTTTTCCTTCTCAGCAGAAGTTGGAGATTGGGAAGCAGAGTCATCAATTTTGGGCTTTTTGGAAGCAGGAGGATCTGAAGAGACCTGAAAGGAAGAGGAGGAGAGGGAGCAGAGATTTACTAATTATTCTTTGCATAGTCAATTTGGTGCCAGGATAAAAGGTGATATTTAAAACAAATATTGATCTTTCCCCGCAATCCCTTGAACAGAACTGTCATTTCATGACTACACCGTGGAGAGCTGCAGATTTTGGGCTTTTTGGAAGCAGGAGGATCTGAAGAGACCTGAAAGGAAGAGGAGGAGAGGGAGCAGAGATTTACTAATTATTCTTTGCATAGTCAATTTGGTGCCAGGATAAAAGGTGATATTTAAAACAAATATTGATCTTTCCCCGCAATCCCTTGAACAGAACTGTCATTTCATGACTACACCGTGGAGAGCTGCAGATGGAAAGAGACAAAGGGAAATAGACAAATGTATTCCAGGCACTTCACTGGCTTCATTCATTCATTAAAGCATAAATGGCAAGACACAACGTTACGATACAAGGGCTAAAATGAAGTGTAAATATAACTTAGCTATTCACACGGTGCCTCTAAGAAGTATCTGCCTTTTTTATTATTATTGTATGCAGAAAGGTAAATTTTAATGTGGTTCCTGAATTGGAAAGATTATTTTAAATGAGAACAGAGCAGACTTTGTTATTCTGTTTGCAATGGTTGTTATGCCGATGACTTCACTACCCCACAGCTGCAGTGGATTCTGGGGGCGCTGCCAAGAGCTGCTTTGCCTTTTCCACAAGTGCCTCAGCTTGGCCTATAAATCACCCTCAAGCATAAAATAGTCCTTTGGCAAGCAGGACCCCTTTCCTTCAACACCACGAAGAAATACAATTCCTACAGTCCCAGGGTGGCTTGCAAAAAAATTGGTAACTACTGGTTTCACTGGTGTGCGGGGGATTCCGGACTGAGGCATGGCCAGCACAAACACGGCTAGCGGACGGGCCCTGGACCTCGTTCTGCATGAAGAGTACAAATAATAAAACAAGAACACACCAACTTTCTTTCTGGGAGTTGGAAAACTCGTTCCTTTTCCACATTGCTGTCCAACAAGGCTCTTATTAAGAGGCAGCACAACAGAGCAATCTCCAGCAATAATCCCAAGACTGTGTGTTTATACAGAGCTTTTTCGTCCCTTGATTACAAAGCATTAGACAAAGGCAAGTAAGTGTCACTGAGATTTTTCACAAGTGTCCACTGATTCTGGGTGTACAAGTTGAGGCCCCCTGGAAGAGGCCTGGTTTTTAGAGGGCACGTGTTCAGTAATATCTGAAAATCAGGCCCCTTGAAGGCATCTGAAGTTGAGCACTCAAAAAAAAGTCACCCCATGCCATAGTGCCCTGCAAGCTGTGTGCTTGGGCAGCCACCCAGGAGAGATTCAAATGTCTGCCAGCTGATTAGCAGAGTTTTCCACAGCTGGCAGCGTATATTTCTCCTAGTGGTACACATCTGCACATGCCTCAGTGCACATAACAAAATGTATTCCACACATGAATGGAACAAATTAGAGGGAAAATTGCCAGTAGCCACTATTCTTGGAGATCATGCATGGAGTAACTGACCCACTGTTCACGAAGGGTGTTCCAGGCAGAGTTGAGATTCAACCTCCCTTCTCCAGACATCCAGGCCACTTCCCTGTCCACTCTGCTCACAGCAAAACCTAGAGTTAGACCCTTAGTAGCCTTAATTTGGAGATAACTCTGACCGCCACTGCACGATCAAATCTGCTGCTTTTATGGGTGCCAGAGCAGCCTGGCAGATCTGTAGCTCAAGCTAACCAGTCTCTAGTTAATGCCAGTTCATCTGGCAGGCTGCTCGTGGTCTTTTACGGCCTGATTCGTGCTGTATCATTAAACCCAGCACGGACCTCTTACTACTGCATTCCAAGGTGAGCTCGCGGTGGGGGCGCCTTCCCAAACACAGCAGATGAGGTACGGTGTATGCGTGAGTAACCAAGAGTGCAAAATTAGCCCGGGCTGGTGCCAAATACCAATGTCAATGGATTTGCAAGGGCTTCTTTTGGCTCAGCGCCAGCCTTTTATATCTTTGGGCTGAGTCTGGAAATGTCCGTGCTGCGGCCCCTCCTCCTCCGCCAGCGCGAAAGGGGCACTCTGACATGCCTTCCGCGGAAAGCACCGGGCAGCGGGTGGGGGGAAAAGGTTCGCTGCTGCTCTCAGAGACGCTGTCTGTGCAGAAGCAGTGACAGCATCAGAATGGTATTTGGCAGGCGAGGCGGGTCCCAGCCCTATCCACTGGGGATGGTGAGCAATGTGGGGAGGGGAGAGGAAGGGGCCTGGAATGAAAGAGGCAACAGGTGGCAAGACTCAGCAGAAGAGACCAGTAATTTCCACCCCCCGCAGCAGCACATTCTGTTCAGGCAGGAGGGAGGACAGCCACCCCGGGCCCAGCATTGTGCACCCGCGGACAGCACCCTAATGGACTTGAACCCGGGGCCAGTGCAAAACCAAATAGCTTCTGGGGAGTGGGGAGCAAAGTGCCAAGACTTAAAGAGGCTGGAGGAAAGATATTTATATAGAATCCCTCATTTGCATTTTCAAGGGACAATGCGTCTCCTTTCTTCTTCTCCACCCTCCCCGTTTGTCCCCCTCCCATCCAGGCTGATAGCCAAGGCCGGGGGAAAGGGGCAGGGGGGAGCCCAAGCGGCACAAAAGAGAAGTAAACCAGCAAAAAATCCCTGCCCCTCACTGCCAGTAGTCAGCACTGTTCTGTGCACCGGAGCCGGGATGGGGAATCCTGGTAAAACAGGGGCAAAGAAGAAACACACGCACCTCGGTGGGAAGAAAAACACAGACAGACGGACAGACAGACAGACACACACACACACACGAAAAACAGCTGCTGATAGCCCATGTCGATTGTTCTAAATGAAGCAACATCATCTTCCACCGTGCGGTACTGGCATTTCTGAGAATCTGGGCTGGCTTGTGGGCAGGGCACTGGACTGTGACTTGGAAGCCAGGCAGTCTATTGCACACACCAAGTTGCTGGCACACCTCAGGCAAGTCATGTCACCGCCCTCTGCCTCGGTTTCCCCTTCCACCCTTTCTCCGTCTGCTGCTCAGATTATTAGCTCTCTGGGGCAGAGACTGCCCCTAGGCACAACCGTGGTGACGGGTACTACTGTAACACCACCAGTAATTGCTTTCTCACTCTCCGTGAACAAGGATGACTCAAGAAGCAGAGCTGCTCATGAAGAAGTGGGGATAACGCTTTGAAATCCAAAAAAGCTGGGTCGCTTTTTGTCCCATCACACAATGCCCTGTGGTGTCCCTTCTCCTTACATCCCTATCTGTCTGGGCAGAGCCCCTGAAAATATTTGTTCCCTCCTCAGTGAGCGGCAGCAGCTTTGCCAGGAACCCATCAAAGGCTCATGATCTATAAGTGTCAAAAGCGGTCAACCGATGACCAAGAAGCGCAGCAGAGAGGTCATGTGGGCAGCCAATGAGAAAGCATTACGACATGCCTCTCCTCCAAGCATGACTTTTGCTTTGCAAAGCAGAGTCTGCTGATGAAATAGGCAGAATCTGATCTTCCTACGCCCTGGGAGTGTGAACAACCACTCAAAAAAAATCAGGGTTGAGGAGGTGGACGATGACAAGAAGGGAAAGGACAAAAACACTCGCATAGTATGGACAATATAACGCAAAAGTCTGACAAGGCATGTAGCACAACTCCCCCTTCCATATGATTCACCGACTGTACTCCAGGCTAGGACAGGCGCTCAGCTGGCAATAAATAAGACTGACAAAAGTATCACTCTGTCGCTTTCATCGTGGCCAAAGTAACCGCATGGGGGAGATACGATAGCTCGGTGATGAGCAACCGAGGCTAGTAAGTGGGCTGCATGAGTGGCTCTCCTTCATCTCAGGGGGCCGCAAGATTGTTGTGACCAAGACAGTCTCCCAGGAGAGGGTAGTTTCGCTGCACATCACTTTAGTAATGCTGGTAAGAAAAAAATGACGTGGACAGAAACAAGTGGAATTTTGCAACCCTGAGCGTGGACAGCAGTAAAAATAAAACGTTTCGCAGGCTACACCCAATGGGCAGCAGGTTGCTCATCCCTACAGTAGATCATGTGGGGATGAAAATTCTTTTATTTCAATCCAAACATCTCCCACATACAAGATGCTCACAGGTGGAATTTAAAAGGGCCTTTCTCCATTCTTGCCCCCCCCCTCCCCCGCCCCACTGATGTGTGCAAGAAATTCTGAGAAGCTTGAAGCAGAAATCGCTGTTTCCTTTACCTTTCCCCCCTTCGCTTGTGTTGCTCAAGAACAATGGTTTGTGATGCTATCATTCCACAGAAGCACTGGGGCTGTTCATGCTAGTTTGGATTTTGGCCAAATGAGCTCCCATTTGACGTGTCATGCTAGCTCGACTAGGTATTGTGTTATCAAAGCATGAAATCAGTGGAGACAACCTTTACCCGCTGCTTCTCAGAAAGATACCCCTCCCTCCTGCAAACTCAATACCACCGAAACACACGGATCAGGAGTTAACTGGCAAGCCCAGCCAGGCACCTGAAAGTTCCTTTTCAGGCCAAGAGAATGAACACGGGGGGCTCGCACACTTGCAAGCCAATCGAGATCATTCCTGGGGGCTCCCTCTGGGATCTACCAGCTAGTTCCTCTCTAGCTGGTTTCCGGCTGGAGGCATTTGGGCTGAGTGGGTGATTTTTGTTCTCCCAGCTTCTCTATTCCCCAAGGGCAGGGGGCAATAAATGGCCTGTAAGCTGGATGCGGTTTTCCAGGGTTAGCCCCCGGCTTTATTTACCCGTGTATCTGCAGGTATGGCCCCTTACAGCTCCCATTGGTTCATCGTTCTCGACCAATGGGATATGCGGGGAATGGTATCCCGGTCTGTGCTGCTTCCTGCAGCTCCCATTGATTGGGAACAGTAATCTGCAGCCAATAGGAGCTGCAAGCAGTGGTACCTGTGGATGCACCGGTACATAAACGGCATCGGCCCACCAGTGGCTAACCGTGGTGAGCCACCTCGGGCTTA